ACTGGGGAACACGAACCAGCTCAGAGCTGAGGTAGCTAGCGGGGAAGCACATGCATCGACATCTGGTTGGCTGGAGTTTGGAAAGAGTAGGGGCTGCAAAGAAAACACGTGAAAGGAGCTGAGGCAAGCCTGCGGTGTCATGCACAAGATCATCTGTGACCACTGATTTGACAGTTAAACCTTTGTCTTCGGCTGGGAACTTCTGTGAGGGATATGTCAGATGGATGAACTGAGGTTGTTCCCACAGTAACAATAATGCTAAGGTGTTTCTTAGCTTGAATAAGCATTACAGGAGATGCTTGTCTAGTATCGCATTCTGCATGACCGAAGCTGTGCTGCTTTTATCGCTTTACTTCTTGCTGATGGCTTATGTAGGGATGAGTATTTTGTGCAGCTCCCTGCTGCAACCAGCAGTGTGTGACATGACTGGTGCTAAAATCCCCTGAAAAGAAAAGCCAACTGAAGGGCTGTGATGATGGGAAGAGAGAGGCACTTACTCTACCTACCCTACATAGCTGTTGTACTGCAAAAGAGTACCTTTCTCTTTTTTTTGGTCCTGAAAGGGCTTGGCACCTTCCACTCACCAAAGTGGAAGATCAGGTAGCTTGCTTGGACAAGGCAGTCAGATTTCCAATGGCTGAAGTTCAGCCAGACAAATTCCACGGTGAGTGGCGGAATTTACATTATTTTGTTTGTTCACAGTTAATGTGTGTTCTGTTCTCTTGACAAGGCCGTAGCTGGTCCTTAAAAGGAGAAAGGCACTTGCTTGTTTGCCTGAGGCTGGCTACTGCCTTCTCTGCCCTCTGGATCAGTTGGCACCCTCAAGGGAAAGGAGGGACCATCTCTTTCAGGACAGCAGTGGAGCATGCAGAACAGAAGAGCTTCACGAGCGCAGGGTGGGGACAGCAGAGGTGGGGAGACAGAGGCAACAGAACGCCTTCGGAAAGAGGGATGAATGAGGAATGCCAAGAAGAGCAAGGAGCAGACATGCAGTCAGGGCGCAGCTCGAGAAGGAAAACGAGGCGTTTTACTGGGGGCCTGTAGGGGACTGTGCAGAGTTTGTAGCAGCCCGACGAGTCCTCTGAATGCCGGTGGCCTGCAAGCAAACCTAGAAGAATGAACCTGCCCTGGGAGCATACTGTGGGCAGGAGAGGGTTTGACCACAAATCTCTTATTTTTATTTTGCTTGAGTCAAGAGGACGAGTAATGGATTTACAAGGCTCCCTTCTTCTAGTTCATGTTGAAGTAGAACTGAGTTTTAGTCTGTAAAAGTTCCTTTCTGTGTTTTTGGTTCATTCAGGTTTGTGCTCTTTCCCACTGAGGAGGGAGGGAATAGTTGCTGCACAGGGTCAGTCACCTCTTTGGATTTTCCTCGAATGTCATTTAAACAACAAAGCATGCAGAAACGTTTAAGAGCAGTAGCCTTTCCGCCCTTCTACATACCCAATTAAGTATTCAAGGCAGATACTTTTAAAAAAATGACTAATTTTTTCTTCAAATCTACATTTTGCCTGGAATACATGTTACTCTTCTGTATAAATTCCCATCCAGCTCATGGAAAAAACAGCCATTTGAAGGAAAGGCAGTTAATGAGCTTTGCTCATGAGTATGTGTAGGATTTTTCAGTCTGATTTTGACATATTACTGGCATTGGTGACATTTTTGTTTCCCTTCACTTGTATAGAAATGGAAAGATTTTTGGAATGTGCTAAGTACTTCATACAGGCAGCGTTGCACTGGGCACAGTTCTAGGACAGAATGAAACATGAAATATGTGCATCTGTATCTTGTGTAGGACAAGGATCTTCAAAGGGCTGCAGATCAAAGCCCAGCCTGTGTGGTGTGATCAAATAGCCTGCTGACTAAGACCAAAGAGGATGAGGCCTTTTTGGTACAGCAGTCCTGGTTTGTTTTGCCCTAGATAGTGTATTCTTTATGTGAAGTGCAAGTTCGAGGCATCCCCATTTACACACACACACAAAGTTCCAGCGCACACATGTTACTCTCACGCATATGGTGGAGCTGTAACTGTTCTTAACTCCTCTATCATCTCACTCTCAACTCCTCTCAAATGGTTTTTGAAAACCACTACACAAAACACATACTCTGGAAACTAGACTCAGCAGAGATCTTAGGAAAAAGAGGTTTAAGGATGGAGGGGTATGGGGGAACCAAGCCAAACCCCACTATTATATTTGTATCTCCCTGTTGCTGTGGATAAGACTGTATAAATAAAATGCTTGGCAAGCTTCCTGTTGTGGAGAAGAAGAGTGTATTAATATGTGCTATGAGGAGTATGTTCTGTAAGGAACTTGCTTCCTCCTTCCCTGAAGCATTCCGAAGATTCCAGCCATACATACACAAGGACACCTATATATGATGTATACAGCTGTTCGTATTTCCATCATTTCCAGAGGCCCTGTTTCCTGTGGGTTCCTCAGTGGTGCAGTAAGAAACAGAGTAAGAAAATTTTGGAATTGGCAATTATTATTCTTTTTTTGGCTACTTAAATATAAGAGACACTTCTTCTCCTCTCGTCCTGTTTGTTAACTGATGGCAAAAAAAGGCTTATTTAGGTTCTTATTAATCAGGTGCTAAGAATGTAAAGTGCTGGAGGACCTAGCTTTGTGTACTTCTGACCTAATGCAATCCCAGGCAGAGCAGAGCGAGTCCCTTTCAGTGCAAGATGGCTCATGAGTTTCAGGAGGGCAGGAGACTGCGTAGCAACCTGCGTTGAAAAATTGAGGGAAGACCGGGAGATTGCATACTGCCACAGTCGGAGCTGTTAGCAAGGGAGGGTCCAAGAGAAGAAACGTGAGGTCTCCCATTACGAGGTAGAAATGAGAGCTTAGGACAAACGGTGAGTCAGGAGGCCACAGCTGCTTTTAAAGAAAGGGAAAAAAGAAAAGTAGGTTTGGTGGGGAAGATGGGTCAAGCGAAAACTTGGGAAAGTTTCATAAGAAGCAGCATTTGTGGACCTATTGGAGGATGGAACAGTTTGAGCAGAAGATTTTGATGGATAAGAAATAAGCAATGTCAAATGCCAAGTTTTAGCTTTTTAGATCTGAGCTGTTTCCAAAGGTTGCATAGCCACAATCATTTTTCCTAATATTCCCAAGCTTTCCTTAGAACAGTTGAAAGCCTGGTGCCCTTGCTGGCTTCCGGACAGGTAGTTGTTACTGGAATCAACAGTTGCTTCGAGGAAGGCTTGATTGAAGTATCACGTAGCTACAGTTAACTGGCACATGACTTTTGTTTCTCCAGCAGACTTTCTTATCGCAAACCTTTAATGAGGACCGTGTAAAGGAGGTTTTATTTTTCACCTTGGGGCTTTTTTTTTTTTTTAAGTGAAACTCTTGAACTTTCCTCTGAAACAAAATTTGTTTGATGTTGAGGGTATCTTATCAAATATTCTTGACATCCATATGCAGAGATCCTGTATAACCTGTGATGTACACACCATAACAATGGGGAAATGAAACTTCTTACAGCATGTTCAGAGTCAGACACACTCCCAAGCATTAAAACAGTTTGTTTTCTAGGTGGGTAACAGATCACCGTGGGTAACAGATCACCATGGGTAACAGATCTAGGTTACTAGATAACAGATCACCATAATTGTTAATTGTTATTATGAGAAAATATCTAGGACTTGCTGGGCTATGAGATGATCTTGCCCTCAAAGTCCAATTGTCTTAGTTTAGTAATGAGACATAACAAGTGGGTGAAGCTGGAAAGTGTTTAAGGCGTGTTGTCAGATAATGCTCATTAGAGCTCTTCTGGGACTGGCTTAAAACATTCACTGCCATCCCAGAAGAGACTGTGTGTCATGTGAGTGGCTCTCATCTGTACCTATGCAGAGTTTTCCGCGTCAGCCAAGAGCTGCTACTGAAGTCACTTTGAACCCATTTGACACCAAAAGTTAAGTAATGCGTGGATGATCCAGTCTGGTGAGTGGGCTGTGGGGGCAGTAACCTCCAGCTGTGACACGGAAACAAACACGGGGGAGTGGCACAGTGAAACTGCACTGGGCACATCCAGAGTCATGACACCCTCATGCATCCAGGGCCTTTTCAGAACGGGGCCTGTGTAGGCTCTGTTGGCAAGAAAGAATACTCCTTTTTGTTCAGTAGCTCTAGTGTGAGCTTGTCATCAGCCTGTCCCCTCGCACGCAGTAGTGCTCGAGAGGCACTCATGGAAGAATGTCCAAAAGGTTTTAAGGAGGGAAAAATGGATTAATGCCATTACCACTGAATTTTAAAGGGAGGCACACTTTGAATGAGGTAGACTTGGAGAAGAGCTCCAGGGTCTTGAGAGGAGACAGCGGCAAGGTGTAGCACAGTTGGCATAGGAAAGGGGTTAAAAGACAACACTTCAGGGTGATAGTGCAGAGGAATACAGCAGGACTGCATTATACCCCGAAAGAAAGAGCATGGTGGAGGGGAGAGCCAGTAAAGGCAACCCTCTGCGATATAACACGGGCGATATACCATAGTAAAGAGGTGGGGGAGGAATGTTATCTCAGGACCTGAGTCGTGTCTGCTGTAGTAGGAGAAATACTCTGAGAGGCCAAGGAGACAAATAGTTCACTGTGAGCTGAAGCAGTGTGCAAGGTGGTGTGCTTGTGTCTGCTCACTACGGACAGCACATTCTGTGCTTAAGAGCTGCGAAGGCGTTAACTTGAGTTAACCCCGTCAGTGCAAGAACCAGGAAGGTGTATCTGTATGTGAAGGGTCCTGCGTTTCACCTGAGATGGCTTGATTGACCCGATTTCAAGCAGTTCGTTTTCATAATCTTGGTCATGGTTTTTCAGCAGTTGTATATGTGTATAGTGCAAGCTGGAATTTCCCTCTTCTTTTTCTTTTATGGTGTACCACACGTACATTAATAGCACCATACTGTTCTACTTCGTAAGATTCTATCGCATCCATGATCAGTGGAATAGAATCAGTGGAAGAGTGTGGTTAACAGAGGTCTTGTGGTTTTCTTGTGTTCAATAGGAAATAGCCCGTCTTCTCCGACCTGGAACTCTGCGTGCTGTCTTTGGGAAGAACAAGATTCAGAATGCTGTCCACTGCACAGACCTCCCCGAAGATGGAATTTTGGAGGTAAGACCTGCTAGACAGTGTAGGAAGTTTTAAAATGAAAAGCTATACTTGACACTGTTTCAAGCTGTTGAAGTGTTCTATACGTGGAGTAGCTGTGTCTTGTATTAACTTACTAATTATTGTCTGATTTTTGGCTTTGTATGCTTTTATTAAAGTCCAGTAGAAAAGGAAAATGTTAAAATAAGGGAGACAGAAGTACTCACTATGGAGACCAGAACAATTTCACTCACACAATCCCGCCTCAAAACCAAGGTCTGTACAAGCGGGTTGAAGTGTTGCCTAAGCATATCTTGGATGGATCTCTGCATCCATGCAGATATTTTTCCAGCACATGCATAGTTTCTCTTTTACTGTCTACATGTATTTGTGAGTGAGTTGCTGTCAGACTGTAGCAGAATGGTGGAGCAGCAAGAGTTTCCTTAGCCTGGATAATTTTACACTCTCAGAATGGTGTTTTCCTTTGGCTAACTGTGTCACCATCTCCCTTCATGAAATAAAATCAGATTTGTGGGTTAAAGTGCTGTTTGCCAGGAAATCACGCCTAGTTTAAGGAATAGACTGGTGAAATTTAACGCTGAGAATGGCAGCCAGCATCAGCAAAGTGGCAGCTTTTTAAACTATTTCCAAGCTGTCATTAAAAGTTGATAGCTTATAGTTTCTGCCCAAAGGGACTGGATTTAAACAAGCAAATGGGGAGTTATTGCCACATGCCTAAAATCCCTCAGTCATGGCTTTTCAGTGCAGTAGGAAAAAAAAGACATAGCCTGCAAGGGAAAAATGAGGGTCTCGCCAACACTCCAAGAGCATCTTAGTACTTTAGCAGAATTCTATCTCTCCCTTGTGTCCACAGTCTGTTTCCTTCATGCTGGTGCAAAGCAGGTATAACCCCATTTTGCCGGTTGTTTAAATTGAGTTTACAGCTACTATAAGTGGGGTGGGTGGGACAAAGCAGTTGAATTGCTTCTTCAAAACAAAAACTGGGTCTGGAGTTCTTTCTCAAGCTCTCCACTACGTGTGTTTGTCCTTGGAATTCCACAGCTGAATCTTAAGCTGACTTCTTGATCTAGTGTTACTCTACTACACACCTAGCAGTCCCCATTGCAGACTGGTCAATTAAATAGTCATTTATTGATTGTATTTTTGAGGGAGCAGGGCTTAAGTGTTTTGTTTTTTGTTGTTTTGTTTTTGGTGTTTTTTTTTTTACCAGAGGCGTAATTGTACACAGCATATGGCTCTTCATCTGTCTGTAGTTTCTTCTGTAACAGTCCAGGTTAAGTCAGCAGTTGTAAAGGACATTGGTCAATGTTCTTTAATGAGTAAATACAGCAGCAAAAGTTTCAATCTGATTGTTTGGCAAATAAGCATTATAATGTAAACTACAGAAACCTTTTTACTGCCAACACTTTTGTTCTCAGAGTATCTTTAGATCTGTGTTCTGTCAGAAATGTAGTTGCCCGAAAACTTAGGCAAGCAAAAAAAAAATAACCTCTGGATTTGCTTAAGTGCAAGGGCTTATCATGACTGATGAAAGAGAAATGATATGGTATACACAGAGATCATACTTGGGAAGGACTTTTTCCTCAGTGAGTTTTTGTGTAAGAGGAGCTCAAATCCAGTCACTGAGGTCTCATTTGCTGGCAAACAGAATCACAGAACGGTTTGGGTTGGAAGGGATCTCAAAGCCCATCCAGTTCCAACCCCCCTGCCATGGGCAGGGACACCTTCCACTAGACCAGGTTGCTCCAAGCCTCATCCAGCCTGGCCTTGAACACTTCCAGGGATGGGGCATCCACAGCTTCTCTGGGCAACCGGTTCCAGTGCCTCACCACCCCCTCCAGGAAGAATTTCTTCCTTACATCCAATCCCAATCTCCCCCCCAAGCTTTCTTGTAGCCCCTTCAGGTACTGGAAGGGGCTGTAAGGTCTCCCCGCTCAGCCCCAGTAACTGTAAAAGCAAGGCTGGAGCAGAGGGACTGTGTGGCATGCAGGACAACCATAGAAGGAAACTGAGCCAGACTAACATTTTTAACAAGTATGCTGTTCAGTAGATGGTCGTGAATGTTTTCATTCTGTAATGGATAACTGGATATTTTAATATGCAGTTTAACAATGAGCCACAGAGGAGGTGAAGTCAGAGATGGGTAAGGTACTTGTCATTGAGGAGAATGACCTTGGCTGTGTTGGCGCAACGGAACTTGCATCTTTGGATGTGGAGTTAGCGTGTGTTCATAACGTCCGTGTTCTGGCAGGAGATGATGCTGTTGCTGAGATGTTAATGCTGCTGTTGCTGTAAAAGCTTTACAGTATCACTGTAGAACAACCGGTGAGTAGAGGAGGAGCCTGGAGTAAATTTCAGGGTTAAATCTGGCCTGTTAGTTTTTATAGTGCAAAGATGAAGGATCCTTTTTAAAACCCCAAAGAAAATTAATTGATCCCCAGGAGATTCTTTCTTCAGGCAGCATTGTTTTTTGTAGTGTTAATGCCCTGCTGCAGTTACTACCCAGTGTAGCTCCAGAAACCACCCTATATGCAAACTCCTGCACTCCTGTTTCGCCGATGAAAGGTATGTTTGGCAGTCTGAATTTAGGCACAAGAGCTGGGAGCTCCAGAGTTTCGTTTCTGAACATGGTGCGGATTTTATCTGAGCTTGGCTAAGCCGCTTTTCAGATTTTGGCATGAAAGTGTTTGGCTCTGAAATTCTGTATGGTGATATTCTGATTTATATTTCTCTTCTCCAAAATAAAGCAGCAAAGGCAGCAAATTTTAGAAAGCCAGCTACAGAATCATTATTACAAATAATGACACAAGTTCTAAAAATTCCCCCCCTTTCCCACTACATATATATGTATGGGATTTTTGGGAGGGTTGGTTGGTTTTGGTGTTTTATGGGGGTTTTTTGTTGGTTTTGTTTCAGTTTTTGTTAGGTTGATTTTGGGTTGGTTTTTGCAGTTGTTTCTTTTCTGGTGGTCGTGGTTTGTTGGCTTTTTTTTTTTTTTTTTTTGGTCCAGAATAGCAAATAGCTCAATTACTCTTCTGAAATCCAGTAAGCTTTCTTGGAGAGAAGATGCTGTGGTGTAGGTTTCCTGATGCTCTCGGGGAACCAGAGAGGTGGGCCTCAGGGAAGTGTTACAGCCCAAAAGCAGGCAGAGACAGACTGATACACTGTGAATAAAGATGTTAACTACCTTTGATTCAGAGCTTCTTTACAGCCTTGACTGTGATTGAGGGCTGAATCATCCTTTTCCAGAGGTTTCCATTTCCAGCGCAGCCTCTCCTTACAGGTCTAAGGTGGGAGAGTGGAAGTCCCAGTATCTCTGAACTTGAGTTGGGCCCCGTGGGTTTGGACACAGAAGGCCTTAGCTGCGTCTGTTGGCCGGCTTGTGGAGTACCTATGCTGTCAGTGCTCACGCAGCTTCTCTGGGGTCCCTGTCCCAGTCCTGACTGCCGTGGCTGCATGTTCGGGGTACACATCTGCAGGGTCAGCAGCACCCGAGGGACCTGGGAGGCGAGGGGGTCAAAGGGACTGCTGCTCTGGCCACTTTGTGGGTAGGAAGCTGAGCGGGTTGCTCTGTCTGTTAATTGGTTTTGTGACATTTGAACTTCTAGAACCAAACAGAGATGGAAAGGGGAGATCTGTGGTTGACCTACTATCCTATCGTGGGCCTTAAATGCACAGGATTTATGGGAGCACAATAAAGGCACGCTCCTGTGCAGAAGGGAATGCATCGGTGCTTTCCTGAGGACTCGGTTAGGTATCCTCAGTGCCAGATACTGCGTATTTTAAGATTTTTCCACCCTTCGCTGCAGTTTTTATCACCCCCCAGTTTAAGATCCGAGTAAATTTTGAAAAGTGTTTGCAATGGCAGCTGCTGTCTGATTGTCCTCAAACGGAGACTTCTTAGCAGAGAGAAGTAATTGAGGGCTAGATCAAATGTTTGCTGAAGTTAATAGCCAAACTCTAGGTGACTTTGGTGGTTCATACTTCATTGGCAGTCACTAGCAAGGGCAGGGTAGTGACCTTTCTCCCAAAACTCATGACCAAGGAGTACTTGGGGAAAAGAGAGAGAACAACGCCGTCTTGGAAATAGCAAGGGAGTCATTAACTTGTGCAGCCTGTGTACCTAGTTTTAGAACACTGTATTTAATTAACATAGTACAGCAGTTTTTCAATATGTCTTTGTTAGACCTCTTTTCCATGGACCTGGAAAAAAGGAAAGTTCACTTTTAATCTCAAAAGACCCTCAAACAAACAAACAAACAAACCCCAAAAGCAAATACCAGCACTTGCTCCCACCAGTTTGACCCTTAACTCCTGTCTTTGTTCTGCAAACTACTTCACGTTTTAGGCAGTGACTAAAGCACACCAGAATTAATGAATAACTCACTACGGCTCAAGAGAGGAGGGGGCGTGCAGCTGAGCCTAAAACGAAGCTGTTCACAGTGGAAAAATCAGTGTACCTTCAGTTGTAAAGCTGTAACTGCTTATTTTATTCCTAGTTTAGTGTTACAGAAGGAGAGTGAATACTGCCCTGAAGCTTCTTGGATCATCTCGTTGACTTACTGGGTCAGGCACTTATTTATTCACTTCATAGACTTGTGTGTCCTTGGATCAGCACAAAATGTATTTTCACAAGTGACAATGGATAGACACAAATAGCTCAGAACAGCCCGTTTCCTCAGCCCATTTTAATGGGGAGAAGAAAGAAAGGAGGAAGTAGAGAGGGGAGCCTGATAGCGATGCAGCGTTTACGAGGTGATGGGGTTTCACGAGTGAAGGCTAAACCAGCAGTTTATTATTTTTTTCTGATCAGCTGGTGTTGTGTAGGACATTCATTCAGAGCAGCGGCTTGCATTTGTTTCCCACATCCAAAGCAGGTACTGCTCTACCACTCCAGGTTTTTTCTGGTTTTTATACAGTAGGTACTCTTTGGAGCAAGCAAACAGTGACACCTGCATTCACATTCCTTCTGAGTCAGGTTGAGCAAGGACTGGGACACATAT